ATCTCTTGACCTCGTGATCCACCCGCCTCGGCCTCCCACGTGCATAATTCTAAATCACAATTAGCCTAAAACAGTTATTGTGTGACCTTGAAACCCATTATCCTATGGTTTCTGCTCCTTACTTATTTGGGGAAGAGTTTTTTTAAGCAATCTGGTTGTTAATGATCTGTTGTATTGACGTAGCAGACCATCCACACAGTCTACTAGCTGATGAGGTAGAGCTCTAGAATGAGGGAGCGCGACAAAACCATTTTGGTATCAGTCTGTGGTTAGCAGTCAGATACAATTTTTACAGAAGAGATCAAGATCGTTCATTTAGAGGGTCTTATCTACTGGGGAAGAGTGAATGACTACTGTGAGAGTGACTTAGCGTAGTGCTGGGGGGGTCTTACTTAGCTTTACATATAAGAAAAAAAAATCTAATGCTACCAGTTATTGTCTAACTATTGCTGCTGCTTTAGAATGCACTGGGCTCCATCATGCTTTGGGAGTTGACTTGTGCTTTTTAAACCATTTTCCTTTAGTGTCCGGCCGGAGCAGTGCTTATGGTGATGCTACAGCCGAGGGGCATCCAGCTGGACCAGGAAGTGTCAGCTCAAGCACTGGAGCCATCAGCACCACCACTGGGCACCAGGAGGGAGATGGCTCTGAGGGAGAAGGAGAAGGGGAAGCTGAAGGAGATGTCCACACTAGCAACAGGTCAAGACCTTTTCCTTCACAGTTAAGAAGCTTGCCTGTCTGAGACTATTTCAAGAAAAGTAGGACTGATCAATGGCAGGAGGTGGAGCGGTGATAACAATGTATTTCTTTTGTAATATAAAAGTGTAAATTTATGAAACAGTTTAAAATCTTAGGAAGTGCTCTAGGTCTGTCTTTGTCTTAGAATTATTTATATCAATTACAGAGAAAATAGAAAGTTGTCTTTCTCTAAAGGCTGCTCTAAGTACCTTAGTAACTGTAAAGTGGTTATCATAAAAACATAGCTTCCTTATTCAAATCTTTCCAGTTTCATCAATATCCATACACTCAGTGTGTGGCATCCTCTTTACAAATTTTACTGCTTGGAGGCTCAACATTTAGGTATACGTATTACATAACCTAGAAGTGCTCCTTGTTTAGCATGCTTGTAAGGTGAAGGAGAAAAAAAAAATCTCATCTATTAATCTTATCATATATTATTTCTGCCTTATTTTCTGTTACTTCTCTTTCTGGGATTTCAGCTAAATAGAAGTTAGACCATCATATTCTCTTCTTCATGTCTCTTAAAATCTCTTTTTCTTTTGTGTTCCTTGTGCTTAATTATTTATAAATTTCTTTATCTATTTGAATAGCATTAAAAAACATCAAATACTTAGGAATAAATTTAAAAGATATGTAAGACTTCTACTCTGAAAACTGCACAACTCAAGAGAAATTAAAGAAGACCTAAATAAATGAAGAAATATGTCATGTTTATGGATTGAAAGACTTGTTATGAAGATAATTGTCTTCAAGTTGATATAGATCCATATAGTCTTAAATTTTAGCTGGAGTTATGTGTTAAAATTGACAAGTTGATGCTAACATTTATGTGGATTAGGCAATATTGAAGAAAATTAATAAAGTTAGAGGACTTTACAGAACTACAGCTTATTATAAAGCTATGGTAATTAAGACAGTGTGATAATGGTATGAAGATAGACAAGTAGATTGGTGGAACGTGATGGAGTTCAGAAACAATTTCACACCTACCTGGTCATCTGATTTATAACAAAGGTGACACTTACGAACAATGAGGGAAAGGAGGGTTTTTTCAATAAATAGTAATGGGTCAGTTGGAAACTCACATAGAATAAAATGAATCTTGACTTGATCTTTTATGCAAAAATTAATTGAATTATAGATGTAAATGCAAAGGGTAATACTTTACTGCTTTTAAAAGATAAAATGTCTTCATAACTTGGATTTGGCAAAGATTTATTAAATAGGACACAAAAGTATTAAAAAGAAAAAAAGAATCTATAAACTGGACTATATTCTCAGCAGCTATTCATTTTTTTCCTCCCCTGTTCTTGGTGTTAAGATAGGTAGTTTTTCTTACAGGCTTCTAGCCTGGTGGGGTAGGGGGTGCAGGTGCAGGGAAGAGTGTGAGGGAGGTCATTTATTACTGTTTACTTTTAAAGTGAGGGTTTAGCCTTCTGTGGTTCTTCTATGAGGTTCTCAATGAAGACCTTTCCCACTGTCCATAGAGGAGGTTTAAAGAAAAAAAAAAAAAAAATGAAGACCTTCCCACTTGAGGAAGATTGTTTTCTTTTATTCCTATTCCAAATGCCCTGTGAGGTCCTAGAAACTGGAGGGTCAAGTTGGCTTCAAAACATCTTGGCCTTGACTTTTCAAATTTCAAATTTCCCTAAAATTTGTCTCTAAGCTCTGCTTACATCTTTGGCCTAATAACTTTTTAATTGCTAGTGAGCTCATTATTACTTTTATTTTGACTTTGTATCTGATGATCTTTCTTAGTTCACTTATTCTTGTTGTTTCTTGTTTTGATTTCTTTTGAGACTGAGTCTCATTCTGTTGCCCAGGCTGGTGCAGTAGCACAATCATAGCTCACTGCAACCTCTAATGCCTAGGCCCAAGGAATCCTCCTGCCTCAGCCTCCTGAGTAGCTAGGCACATGCCACAATGCCCAGCAGTTTTTAAATGTTTTTTTGTTTGTTCTTTTGAGACAGAGTCTCACTCTGTTGCTCAGGCTGGAGTGCAGTTGTGTAATCTTGGCTCACTGCAATTTCCACCTCCCAGATTCAAGTGATTCTCATGTCTCAGCCTCAGCCTCTCAAGTAGCTGGGATTACAGGTGTGTGCCACCACACCTGGCATCCGGCTAATTTTTTTATTTTTAGTAGAGACGGAGTTTCATGTTGGCCAGGCTGGTCTTTAACTGCCAACCTCAGGTGATCCACTCACCTTGGCCTCCCAAAGTGTGGGGTAACAGGTGTGAGCCACCGCACCGGGCTTAGTTTTTTTTTCGGTCAAGACAGTATCTCACTGTATTGCCCAAGCTGGTCTTGAACTCTTGGCCTCAAGTGATCCTCCTGCCTCAGTCTCCCAGTGTTGGGATTACAGGTGTGAGCCACTGCACCAGCTCACTTATTTATTCCAACGATAGATTCTAATGGATTTTCTGCATCCTTGTCACCTACAAATAACAGTTTAACTTTTCTGCAATCTTGTCACCTACAAATAACAGTTTAACTTTTCTGCAATCTTGTCACCTGCAAATAACAGTTAACTTTTTTCATTCCAATCTTTATACATTTTAATTTCCTTTTCTTGCCTTATTGCATTGGCTAGGACCTCTTGTACAATGTTGACAAAAGTAGTGATGATAAACATTAGGTCATTCCCAAACTCAGGGTGAAAAGAATTAATACTTTCTCATTAAGTATGATGTTAACGCAAGGGTTTTTTATGGATATTTATCAGATTAAGGAAATTCTGTTCCTAGTTTGCTGGGAGACTTTTATCTTAAATGGATTTTTTTTAGACAGAGTCTCACTCTGTCACCCAGGCCTGGAGTGCAGTGGTGCAATCTTGGCTCACATCAACCTCCGCCTCCCAGGCTCAAGTGATTCTCCTGCCCTAGCCTTCCGAGTAGCTGGGATTACAGGCGCCCGCCACCATACCCAACTAATTTTTGTATTTTCAGTAGAGACGGGGTTTCACCATGTTGGCCAGGATGGTCTTGATCTCTTGACCTGGTGATCTGCCCGCCTCAGCCTCCCAAAGTGCTGGGATTACAGGCGTGAGCCACTGCGCCCAGCTCTTAAATGGGGTTTTCAAGCCTTCCGTTTTCTTATGTTTCATGTATTGAATTGCTTATGTGGTTTTTCTTTATTTTGTTTAAGGTTATAGATTACATGAATTGATTTTCCTATGACTAAACCTACCTTGTGGGGACATTTAGTCATGATGTGTTATCCTTTATATCATATGATCTGATTTGCTAATTTTTACTTTAGGCTTATAAATTTTTCTTTGAGATATCTTTGTCACAGATGGGTATTCACATTATTCTGGCATTATAAAATAAGTCAGGGCATGATCCCCTTTTCTCCTGCGCTATAAGAGTTTATATAAGATTGGTATTTTTGCCATAAGTTCTTTTTTTTTTTCCCCCATTTATTTATTTTATTGCATTTTAGGTTTTGGGGTACATGTGAAGAACATGCAAAATTGTTGCATAGGTACACTCGTGACAGTGTGATTTGCTGCCTTCCTCCCCAT